AGATCTCTTTTAAAAGACATTTAACATCTCCTCAAAATCTGTGCAGTGATTTTTGCCATCACTTATACCTGTGCAACAACAGAATAGCTTGGAGCTTCCCCCCGGAAGCAGAGGACAGACAAGAAAAGTTGGGGCCCATGTTTGGATCTGTGCTCCCAGACCCATCCATCAGGATGAGAGTCTGAGTGAGCAGGGCCCCCATCAGGAGCTTTACACTACAAAAAATCTTTGTCAGGCAAATCCACACTCTTGTCTTTACAAGGATTCAGGGTAAGAAAATTCAAGGCCACATGCAAACATTTGCAAACTGAGGTTTGTCTTTTCTATCTCTGCACTTGAAATAAACATTGAAAGGGCAAACCCATCCTAATCCTATCACGGCAATGTCTTTTTCTGCTTCCTAAAGCTGAGATTATCATCTCATTGGTTGTCACGCAGCTCCTGGGAGAAGTAATTCAGTTGATTTTCCTGTGTAATCACAGCACAGGATTTTATTTCAGTTGTTATTGGAATGGAAAATGCACGTAGCCTGTTCTCTGTCTTGCTCCTTTTAAGTTACTCACAGACCTGGATGTGGAAAGCTTCAAAATACCCCAACTGCACTAAGAAAGCTAAATCTATGCCCACTGTAAGCTTCAAGCAACCTGCTTATTAGCTCCTCTTCTCAACAAAGGCAGGAAAATTTCCAGTTTTACATTTCTATCCAAATTACGGCAATGTAGACTGAAGACCACAAAACTGTTGCCATTGCTTTCCAGCACATAAAATTAACAATTTGTGCTGCTGCGTGCAACTTTCAGTCAAAGTTTGTCTGATTTATAAGCAAGCAGATGGTTCACACAATAGTCCACAATAAATTACACCAGTTAGAAAGACAGCTACATTCTGAGAGTGACAGTGCAGCTGAGCTACAGATGGGTTTATAGATGACCCTTCCAATTTTTAATAATCTCCATAATTTATGTGCAAGTAAAGAAATGCGAGGATTCCTAATGCACCTTCTTGACTAAGTACAAATCACTTTTATTTACACAGGCAATACTTCATGGTCCAGTTAACTTCTTAATTAAAGGCAGCAAGATGCTCATGTTCCATGCAAGTGGCATGGAAAATACTGTTTAGTGTGCAATATGTTCAACTGGGAGTTTCAGATGTTCTGAACACTCCTGGAAAAGGGAACATTATCTATCTCATTTCTTTAAAACAAGACTACAAGAGTGCAAACGCTTCTACCACCAGTCACTATTCATTAACCTCCAGATAAACTTTAGGCTCATGCAGTAACGAGGTTATGTTTATTTGCAAGCTCTGATGCTTCGAAATAGGCTCCTAATGCAGGAGGCACTACAAACCCAGTATTACTGAGCCAGGACTTGGATGGGGAAACAAGAGGAGCAGAGACCCTCATTATATGAAGAGAGAGGGATTTGGGGAGTCACTCTTGAATGGGTGAGGAAAAAGAAAAGTGAGACTGGAGGGTGTCATTCCTGAGACAGGAGGCAGCAGTGATGCAGAAAGAAACTGGCTGTAAGCAGCTTTAAGAAGCCCATTCATGTCAGTGATTTTAATGGCCACTTCTCCAGCATGGGACCAAACCACGTTGGTCCAATCCTTCTGCAAAGACTTTTTGAAGGGACTCCCAGAAAGATGCCTGTGTTGGGTTGTCATCAGTTGTGCGCCACAGTACAACAAACTAGGTTCTTCTTGGTTGTCATTTCACTTGCAATGAGTCACCTTCCAAAGGAGCACAGCTAATTACAACTACTCTGTCCAGAGGTGATGGAAGGCGCAGTGCCTACTAGAGCTCTTCAAGGCACAAACTACAGAAACTCAGAGGTTGCCACACAGCCCGTCTCTTGGAATGACATTTGAGGGATTCTCCTTCTCTCTAAACCTGTCTTCCCTCCCTGCTAAATTAATTTGAAAAAGAAATTAACTTTTAAGTGGAAATTCAAAACTATCTGTAAAGCAGAAGGCACAGCACCTAGGAAAACAAGTCTGCGTGTACTTTTAATCAACGCTTTCCTGGGACTTCAGAGATGCAGCACAGAAGAGGCGTAAGTGACAAATTCAGGCTTTGCAGAATTACCACAACTCATGTTTTGGAGATATTTTGGCAGGGATTGCTCAGCTCTGCCTGCGGCAGGGCAGCGTGGGGAGCAGCGCTGCAGAGACACACGAGTGGGAAAACCCACTGCTCGGAGGACACAGGACTGCAGCTGCTTACACAAAAAGGGATTCTCCCCTGACATTTCCATGAAGCACTAACACCCCTTCATCTACTATAAAGAACAACAGTGAAATTATTTTTTTTTTTAAATGAAAGTCTTCTATAAATAACCAGCATCTGAAAGTCTTTTGAGCTTTATATAAAATCAGTATCTTTTACTGTACACAGCTTTTAGGTTGTTATGCTGGTTTCGGCTGGGATAGAGTTAATTTTCTTCCAGTAGCTGGTATAGTGCTGTGTTTGAGATTTAGGATGAGAACAATGTTGATAACACATTTTAGTTGTTGCGGAGCAGCACTCACATTAAGTCAAGGACTTTTTGGCTTTTCATACTGCTCTGCCAGTGAGGAGGCTGGGGGTGCACAAGAAACTGGGAGGGGACACAGTGAGGACAGCTGACCCCAACTGGCCAAAGGGATGTTCCATACCATATGACGTCATGCTACTGTGACCATACCATATGACGTCATGCAGTTGGCCACTGTTCGGGGACCAGCTGGGCATCGGTCAGCGAGTGGTAAGCAACTGCATTGTGCATCACTTGTTTTGTATATTCTATTATTATTATTATTATTACTATCATTATTATTATTTCCCCTTTCTTTTCTGTCCTATTAAACTGTCTTTATCTCAATCCACAAGTTTTACCTTTTTCCTCCCTCAATTCTCTCCCTCATCCCACTGAGGGAGGTAGAGAAGAATGGCTGTGTGGTGCTTAGTTGCTGGCTGGGGTTAAACCACATCAATTTTTTCATTAAACATTTGAAAAATATTGTATGTCAGTTTATCTCTGGGATGCTCTTTACTGTTATTTGTCATATTGTTTCTGTTACACTTTGCATATTTAACGCCCTATTATGCACTTTTGACAACCCAGAGAAGATTACTATGGAATTAGTATGGATGTTCATCTGTACTACTGAGTGCTGAATTTGTTTTAGCAATATTCATCAAGTTCAGGAATTGCTAGTACGCTTCCCTCCAAGAGAATATTGGGTCATACTACTGTTCTTTAAAAAAAATAGTGTTGATTATTTAATAATATTTTTAAATATTCCATAACTATCCTCCTTGGATTGACTGCAACTCTTTCATTTGCTTACAAGAGGCCAAAGTCACACACAGCACTAGACAGCAGAAGTTGACTGAAACCAAGAGGATTGTCCCTGTTGTCCCCAGCCCAACAGTAATTCCAGCACTATTGTGAGCTAAGCCAGGACAGGCTACTCCAGTTTAACTCCACTGAGAAGTCAGAGAAGCTATGCACATGGTTTATACGTAACTGGATAGTTAATACAGTTTCCAGGACTCATCTACCGAAGCCGGCAGGGATGCTCCAACTCACTAGGCTGTAGATCAGACCTTCTGGCTGGTAGCTAGATCCTTCTCTGCTAACAGCAAAAATAATCCTGGAGGTGGGATAATGCAAGGAACACATACAAAGGCCTCTCTTTATCTTTCTTGCATTCATTACACTGTCAATGGTGGAGAAACTGGTTTCATAACCTCAAGAAGGAGACACCTTTTGTCCCCCTCGCTGTATTAAAATGTAGATCAATATGATAATACGTAAACTCCCCACTAGGAAGAAGTGGTTTTCAGTTCTCTTAGTAATCAAATATTATTTCCAGCAATCCAACTAGAGAAAAAGAAATGTAAGTAGCAATTTGTCAGTCTATTTATCAAACCAAGAGCTGCACCTTTTTCCACACATTTTACATTACAAAGTGTATGACATGTAAGGTTCTGCAGTTCCATTTTAATTCAGGGATGAAAACATTTATAGATATGAATGTTTTCTCATTAACTTTTCTTCCTAAATGATTATGCTTGTTCAAATCAATTCCTAGCCATCTTACAGAGGTTACAACCTTCAATAATTAAATCAGATATTGTATTCGATGTTGTGTTGATTATGCTACAAGTTCCAATTTCTACAAGACCACTGAAATACTGAGATAAAGGGTTGTTAATTTTATTTAATTAGCTATCTGCCATTGTTATCAAAATGGAAGGTTGGTACCTGACTCAAATTAACACTTTGGATCAGGAAACAAGATAGATGACATCTTCTGAGAAGGATCCTGGAAACTCTATAATTGTTTCAGTTATTTTAAAGCTGCTCAGGACAAACAGGATTGCAATAGAAAGAGCAAAAGTCACTGACAGTCAATGAAGTGCTGCTATGAAAATGCTATTTCAATCACACTTGGGTTCTTTCTCATTTTCAGTTGTTAACATCCTTGCCACTTTTGTCAAGCAGTCTCTCTTTGAGCAGCATTGAATTTTAACTGCACATAATTTCAAAACGCAACGTGAAATAGGACTGAGCACACAATATGGGTTTATTGTGCCAGCTAACAGCAGATCAGGCCCTCGTGCCAAGGCAGCACCTCTCTGCTCTCTGCAGAAAAGGAGTAACTAGTTAAACGTGAGCTAGATTTCACCACTGCCTGTCACCACTCTACCTCGGAAACATTAGGTCTGGCAGTTGAGGGTTGTTTATGATGTATCTCAAAAGGAGACAAAAACACAACGTGACATCTCAGAGGTCCGGGAAGCATTTTAACTACAAATTCAACCTTGCAACTGCCCAGAGGATACAGTATCCAGACGAGGGACCCAAAGGACACCCACTCTCTCACTCCCCAAATTACATTTGCATAGAGTGACCAAAGTAATTTATCCAATAACCACGCTACTCTGCCACTTCATGGTTTCTTTCAATTATGGCCACAGAAACGTGCTTATTCCTTTCCCAGCAACTTACTGGTCTCGACCGGATTTCTTTGGCGTAGAGAGGTTTCAAGAATTCTGAATCTCCTTCCAGCTTTAGACCCTTTTCTGTGATTCTCAGGTTCCCCATTCCATCCTAAAACACAGACAAAAAGAAACAACCCCATTAGTTACAATTACTAAATTCACCAGGCTGCCAATAGCTGATTTTTTTCTTACCCATAGAAGAGAACATGTAAAGCACCGGGAGGCACTAGAGAATGTAATTACTTGTGTTATCCTTTTAGCTCTGTTTCTGTGAAAAAAACCTCTGTTCAGAACAATCTGCAATGCCCCCCAGTAAACCATTTACACAGATGAAAGATGTTCTTTTAAGCTAGTCATCTGTACTCAAAGAGATGCAGCGATGCTCTGTGCTAACAGGAAGCTACTGACGGTAATATTCGCTGGATGCCTGTATATTAATATACCTTCTCATTCATAGCGAAACCATGTAAAGACTATGTGATTAATTCTACTTAACTCCATCTAGAGAATACGTGATTAATTCCACTGAATTGACAAAATCAGGTTTGGCTATGTAGGAGTATTGCAATAAAATGTGATAGGGAACTTGACCTCTGTTATTTGGGGACATCTCTGCAAAATACAGACTCTTTGGTGGGGTTTCTTTAGGGCTATCGGTCCTTACAGCAAAAACATGTGGAAACCTGTTGATCGGTTTCAAGTCTCACAGTCTTTCCTGCGCTTTCAATCTTGTCAAGATGCTACACAGCTTTACTGGAAAATACATTATGCAAATATTTGCTCTGAGAGAAGCAAGGACAGAACAGGAACATCTTTCCAACAGACTGCTCTCCTGTCTTGGGCTAACTCCTGACTTCTCTCTCGCACAGTGATCCGCTCAGGATTGCAGCCTTTGCTCTGCTCCTTGCACAGCCCAAGCACACCCCAGTGATGTGAACCTCTATATCCAAATGTTTGGGTCTCCTGAGCCATTCTCTTGCCTTTCAAATAACCACTGCAAACTCCCAGTGACTGGGCAACAAAGTGACTGATGCAACATGCATTTCTCGCCTCTCCTCATTTGGATTCCATAGTTGCAGCTACCAGTTCCCACCCTCTCCCCAGCCCTGCACCGCACCAGGCTCCCCGAGTCCCCACCGCTCCCTCCGCTTCGATGGCAAAAATCTCCTTGACAAATGGGGTGAAGCGTTGGCTGCAGGCCTCCAGCAGATGACTGCAAATAGTCCATTTTCTTTAGAAATTGTTTAGTTATGTGTGTCCAAGATGTAATGAAACATCTGACAAAGCATAATAGCAAACAAAATATATGTCGAAATTTTATATGAGTTTTTCTTATGGTTTTTATTCAATAAGACAGGTGTATGGGTACATTGGCACAGAGTAGAATTGGACCAAACTATATTTTACCTTTAACTTGTGAAAGTTGTAACTTTCACTAAGATGAGGGATTTACGTTCATTTAAGCTGTAATTGCTTAGAAAGGGGGGTGCACGTGTAAGAAAGATGGTGTGAGGAGGCAATTGCAAAGGTAAATGCATTATGGAAAACACCTCCTGTGCAAGGTATTATTTCTAAGATTCAGGGTCATCATCAAAGTCTGCAGGGATTAAGGTAAATTGAGTTCTTTTCCTGAGAAAAAGATGTTTTGAAGCATATCTTTTAGAATGAATTTGACTGACATCACTAGGATTTGAGACTGACGCTAGCAAAAGCTACGTCTCCGCATGTATAAATTAAGACTGGGAAATGACCAAGAGTTGGGTAGTCAAGAACAGGCACAACAATCCTCAAACATACCCTTTAAGGTATCTTTCCATCTGTTGTTTTGTTTTTTTTTTTTACTATTTCTACAGGCTAGAGAAGCAGGAGGATGATGCTATACAATGCCTCAGGCCTCCAAGATAAGGCAGGATACAAAAATCACAAAACCTACAATAGCTGGAGCTGAGCGTGGGGAGGACGTTGCAATGAGAGACACACACATTGGCATTTATAGCAACAGAACTCATTTTGCAGTTAGAGAGACATTGAAACCAAGGGTCATGCAGGCCACAGGATGGCAGGAGTAGTAATTTCAAGGAATTACTGATCTATAAATACAGACATGCCATATGGACTTCATGGCAACTCATCATGCAATTTAGAGACTCATTGAGAGGGATGGGGCTGCCTCCTTCTCAAGTGCTGCTAGGAATGTCCTTAAACACTGAAGTCCAAATCAAAAGGGCCACCTCAGCATCTGACTCGCAGCTGTTTCAGGGATTTTAGAGTAAAAGAGTATGTACTTGGGTAGAAGCCCTAAGAAGATCAAGAGAAGACCAGGAAAATCCAGGAAAACCACATGTATTTGGATATACATCTTGCACGTTTTCTAGTCCAGCTGCTAAAAATAAAACACATCTGTCTACTTTCTGTTCCTCCCATTGCGTGTGCACCTCCAGCACTGCAAGAGGAATCACTGTCACTAAAGCGGAATGGCTAACCAAAGCAGATTTGAATGAACTGTTGCCAAAAGACATGAATTTGGAGGGATAAAAATCAAAGACATAGCACGGCTCAGCAGCGACACTGGTCACTTGCCAGAGGTTCTCCTGTTCCAAGAAGTATCTCTCCCAAGGTGTACCCTGCCAAGTCAAGATCATTTTTGCCAGAGCGTGGTGTCTTACAAACAAAGGCAGGCTCAGCAGTGCTGGGTGATAAAATGACCGCTGCCATCTCATTTTGAAATGAAAGCTGCAAGTAAACTTTAAATAGACATAGGCTGAATATGCTATTGATTGTTGAAGGGAGGGGAATGAGAGACGGGTCATAAAGTGCCACTTGCACCCCTTGTCCTGGGTGTAAAACACTGGCTTATGAATTCAGGGTTGGTGATGGCACAGAAGGGGTTCATTTATTTCAAGCAAAAGGATGAAGGAAAATGAGTGAAATATGATTATGCTCCAAAGAGCCCAGATTAAATTTTGATAGCAGTATGCTTTGCAATTTGAGTGAGCAGGAATTATTACTGCTATCTGCAGACCCTCACACTTTTTGTGCTGCTAAAAAAACTCTACAGTTTTTTTTCCCAAAATCGGTATTTCAGTAAGGTTACAAGCCCTGAGGGCTTTCACATTGCAGGCTCTTCTCTGGTTTCATTAAGAAAAGTTGCAGGTCATGCGAGCGGCCATATGCCACATATAGCTGCAAGAATGACCACCTCTGTGGATACACAGTCCTGACCACTCCCAGGGCTCACTCCTGAGCTGAAGTGGGGCAATACTTTACCAGTACCATGGACCAATGGATAAAGGGACTGGTCAAGTCACCACTGAAGCTGTGGCAAACCAGCAATTTCAATGGCTCACAACAATATTTCATCTCCTGAGCAGTGATACAGACCCAGCATTCCACTCTGCTCTTCTCTTGCATATTTCTCTTCCTTTCTCTCCTTCACCTCCTGTCTCCCAGGTATATCCCATAGGATTGTTATATATGAAAAACACACATACGGGACATTTAGCTCACAGCTAGCAGGCCCTATACATCCCAAAAGAGATATCAAGCCCATGGGACAACATACTACAACCAAAACATCAAGAATACATTTCATGTGTATCGTATAGGCAGGCGCATTCTCTAACAAAACCACTGGGTTGGTGAAAAAGAGACACTTCCCTACGTTATTTTCAACCTTTGATCCTTCTCAACCTCCAGCCCCACTCACTTTTCTCTCCTCCTGTGGCTGCCAAACTTAATAAAAGCTGCACCCACCAGACATCACCTCTTGACTTTCCTGGTGTTTGGGATGGGCATGCAACGCTTAGCACTGCCTCTTACCCAATTAACGCTCTGCTGCTCATGTTTCTCACCGTTAAGGATGATGGCTTTTTATAGTGACAGTCTGGGTCAGCAGGTGAAAAAATAGGCAAAGGTTGTAATCTAAGTTTAAACTTAATGAGGATCCTGGCCTCAATCAATATGGAATCATGTTAAATCATTACTACAATCATTATTAAATCATATTCATTTATTATTTCCCATTAGAAAAAAATAAGCAGCTTGCAGAATTATATAGATGTCAAAATACAGATACATTAGAGAAATCATTGTATGAAAGACTACCTTGCATGTTGTTTTGGATAAAGCATCTTCATCCTCCTTAAATTACATGGTTTAGTAACAAATAGATGTCATACTCTGCTACAGAGAATATATATGAAAGTTCCTATGAAATTTCACGGACCGTGACCTACAAAATGTAGCAGAAAGCTGCTCAGAGTGTCAGAGACTAAAAGTTTTTATTAAACATTGTGTCTGTGATTAGTATATAACCTTATCTGGCACTCTATTGCTCGTGAATAAGGAAAAAAAGGCAGTATTGTTTGTTTGATACACTGACATCTGACAATCTTTGATTCTCCCCTTTTTATTAGTAGACTCCTCAGCAGAGAGTGAATTATTTTACTGTGCAGGCACAAGCCAGCTTTGTGGGGGCTGCCAGGAAGCAAGCCCCAAACAGGAGGCACAGAGTTGGGAACTTTCCATTACCACCTGCTTTGAATTATTCAGCTTTTTCGTAGGGCATGGTGAAAATTTTCACATCAATTTTACCATCTACGCCACCTCTCTTTTTATACAGTGCCTTGTGATGTGCAGGCATAAAAATTTATGTGCTATTGCTGACTGCTCTGTGGTGAAAGGGGAGAGCAACGGTAAAATCCTGAATAACATAAATGTCATTTCGGTGATGCTGAATGAGAAAGGATTACTATTTCTTTTTTATTAGCTTGAGAAGCAAGTCAGTTTAACAACCAATTACAAATGATGGTGTTAGCGTTAGGGGAAGAGCCCAGCATTGCTGCTGTCTGATCACCAAGGCTTCTGTCTGGCTCTTGGTTAGCAATGTGGCTGTACACGTGGGTAAAGCCGAGCTTTTTCTTTGTTTTCCACTCTAATAGTTGTGGGTCACTTTAGCTTTTTTATTTTTTTTTTAAATGATATGGCTGGTAGAAGGGAGATTCAGTTAACAGAAAAAGAAAAACCAGGCAACCTAACCTGAGCTACATAATTGCAGTGGTAAATACCTGGAAGTGGCATTAGCCACACCAATCCGGACTGCTTTCCCAC